AAACAATCACACCTCCAACACGTCTACTTTCTGTCTCTTTTATTGACTCTCTCGCATAGAATTTATTCAAAACGAAAGGAAAAGAAATAGATACTGATCCCCCGACACACCCTTCATAGAAGATGCGATTCCCCGTACATCCTCGGATGACCCGCTGACACTAAGCATATGGCTTCTTGCTGAGGCCGACCGTCATCACCAAAACTTTACCGCGGCTTTACAAAGACATTAACGGACGTGCGGCCCCCAGCGCCATTCCCCCGCGGCCCGGCGACGGCTCCCGCCCTACTCCCCAAACTCGAAGTCCCGGCGGAGATCGGTCCGAGGTCCACGGCCCCCACCCCGCCGGCGCCCCCGAGTTTACCTCCAAGTCGCGGCCTTTGTTCTTGAAATTCTTGAGCCGTTGGTTGTCCAGTTTCTCGTTGTCCGCCATGGCCGGGCCGGTGACTCCTTCCCCCGCCCGGGCCCCGCGGGATCCGCCCCAACCACCACGCCGCACCGACACTCCCAGGAACCGGGCCGCCGCCTGAGCTGCTGCGCTCGCCGCGCCGCCGCTTCCTTCCTCCTCTGTCACCTGCTTCAGCCGCGGCCTTCTCCTCTCCCCACCCGTCCCACCCCCCGCCCTCACCCCGGCACGACGGCAGCTCCAGCAAAGACAACTGCGGGGCCGGGCGGCGGCAACCGCGGCGGAATGTGCTGCCGGCTGAGAGGGGGAGGCGGCCTCGATCTGAGGGCCCCGGCGCCGAGGCCACGCCCATCGCCGCCAGCCTGGCTCGCCGATTGGTTGACCAGGCCCCGGTGCGCTCGACCAATCAGAAAGGACGATGGAGAGCGGGGGCGGAAGAGCGAAGGAAAAGGGGAAGCGAGAGGCGCTATGAGGAAGGGGCTTGCGGGAAGGTTGCGCTGGGAGGGGCGCGGCGGGAGCCGGGCAGGGATGGACCACGTGCCTCCGGAGCTGGGGCGAGGGAGCCCAGAGAATTAGACCGGAGAGGTGGGAAGGGAGGGGCTTGTTGGTCCCAGTTCTAGGGGCCGGCCCAGACATCTGGGGTACAAGGTAGAAGCCGAGTTAAAGTACGTTCTTTCTTCTGTGTTGCTCCCTCTCTTCCTGGGCATTACTTGCGCGCTCCGCTAGCTTTGCAGGAAGTGGAAGCTGCGCTTCGGCTTCTCGCCGGGTTGGAACACCCCCTTGGTCCTGGTCCTGGTCCTGGTCCTGGTGCTGGTCCCATTACCTAGCTCCGTTACCAGGCAAGGGGTGCCTGCCTTCCGAGGGCTGGCCGTGGTGACTGGCGTTCCGGATGGTGACTGGCGTTCCGGAGGTGCTGCGGGAAGCGGAGGGACGGTGGGCGGAAAATGACGCGTTCGGCAGATCTGATTCATCCCCTCTGACCAAGTCCCCGAAACAGGTAGAAACTTGGGAAACACTGATGATCACCCGCTAGGCATTTCGTTCTAGAAAGTTAAAGTTCCGTAAGGCGGGGACCGTAGCTCTGACAGTCACGAAATATTTTTAACTGTTGAGAAGGAAATAAATTCCATGATTTACGTCTTTATCAGGATGTTATGCAGAGTAGAATAAACAAACTAC